AATTCCTTTGCAGAAATCCAAAATGGCAAGACTCTAAATCCAAATAACATGCTAAACCTAATTAAAAAGCTGCAAATAAAGGGCACACATCTATATATAGTGAAGCATTCTTTATTTAACTAGGCTGTGAGTTTTATTTCTTTTGTGATCATAGCAAATGCATTACCATACATCAATATCCAATAAACTAAACCTGCTGTTCATAAGTCCTTTCTTGCTCATCCTGCTTAAAAAGCAGCTTTGATTCTTGCCCTAAATTCTTTATCTGACACATCAATGCAGCTATTAGTATTTCTACTATTTTTAAAGCGTTCTCTCCAAGCCAAAAGAGAATTCAGGCACTAATGCAAGGAACTAACAGTTGTTCCTGGATTAGAAACAGAGCTGGTTTGATAGACATATTAACATATTTCATTCTGAAGTGTCTAACTAACATTATGAGCAGCTGCATGTATAGTTCCTTCTGAACTGCATACATTTTGAAATTTTAAAAATGTATATAGCTAGGCAAGTTTGCACACAGGGTTAAAGAACATTTTTAAATTGTCTGGGACATTTAATTGATGATAAATTCTTAAAGCAAAGAATTTTAAAAGCTTATTGAATAAATGCAGAACAATTCAGATTACAAAATAATTTGTACTCAAATAAGGTTTGTAATATATCTCCCCAGGCAGTAAATACAAAGAAAAAAGAAGATTGCCAAAATCACACATTACACTAAAGCTTAATTAAACTATGAGTCATTATTAGATTAGCCAGTATTTGAATGGGCTCCAGCCGTAAACAGTGGTTACAAACCACATAATGCACATACAGGTAGTCCTCGACTTACTATAGTTCGTTTAGTGACTGTCCACAGTTACAACCTTTGCAACATCCCCATAATAATTTGATCAAAATTCAGATGGGTAGCAACTAGTTCATATTTATGACTGTTGCTGTGTCCCAAAATCATGTAATCACATTTCGCAAGCTCCTTACAAGCAAGGTCAATAGGGAAACCAGATTTACTTAACAACCATGTAACTAATTTAACAACTATAGTGATTCACTTAACAAATATGGCAAGAAAAGTTGTAAAATGGGGCAAAACTCACTTAACAAATTTCTCATTTAACAACATAAATTTTGGGGAAAGTTGTGGTTGTATGTTGAGGACTACCTCTATTACATTAATGGAAAGTCAAAAATACATATTATGGCTTACAGTGATTTGTGGAAAAAGTAAAAATATCTGAGTCCAGTTTAACCACAGATGACTTCATGGACAGATCAACTGTATATGAGATTTGTTTTGCTTTGGGCAGCAATTCAGAAGTAGTTGACTATGTTTTTTGTACTCTTTTTCTTACCCTAATCTATAACCTTGAATTCCATCGTCATTAACTATTCACACATTACAGAACTGGCACCTTTCAGCTGCCAAATGCAGACATAGTAAACATCGCTGTTGAGATTTTTGCCTCATAAATAAAGCAAAATAAGTAGGTTTATTTATTTATACAATAAATAAACAGGCTTGTCCTTCGTTATTGCTCAGGGTACAACCAATGCCAGGAGACAACTTCACAAATCCATTACAATAGCAAGACTTGGAAAATGTGTTGTATCATTCCTAGTCAAATGGGATCATTGTGCAATCCACCTGTCCAAACCAGATGTAATGTTCTTCCTGTTTACTCTGTATCTCTAAATTTGTGGAATAATGATGATGCTACTTCATAGAAATGTTGCAGATGCCCGTAAGGCAATGTTCCCATTTGTAATATGTTCCTGTATCAGATTCAGCTCTCACAAGTCTATAACTAGTTTGATATACAATAGAACAGAATACCAGCAAGTCAAAGAATGTTTCACAATCTTATCAATCTTGGCCAGAGTGGCTAGGGAATTCTGGGAGTTGAAGTCCACACATCTTAATGTTGGCAAGGTTAAGAAAAAGTAGGTTAAAGAATAGTATTTATAAACCCTATTCTGACTGACGTGGTAAGTCTGTAATGGGATTATACCACTTCAAACTGAGATGGGAAATCACATATTTTCCTATAAAAATCTGCTTTTCATGTATACAAAAGAGAAGAAATATGCATGTTAAGACAAAAGTTTGTTTATTTGTTGCCTAACTTGTACAATATGATGCTGATTACAGCATTAAAACATTTAAATCCTAACAAATAACTCTAAAACAATAAAATGGGAAAAATAGAAATGGAGAAGTTATTAGTTTTATTTATAGCACTGATTTATGATACTGTGGGAAACAGTCATCAGTAGAATAGGGACTACCATACATCAGAATTAGGACTATTGTACAATAGTGGTTTCACTCTTGTGTGCCAACATCTCGTTAGGAGTTTCACTTTGACATTTGCAGCTCTAGGTGTGCGTGTTGGGATAAAGTTAATTTGATAATAGCTCTTTGCATAATATACTGGCATAATTCAGAAAATGACATCCATGGGAACCAGCATTAACATTCTCATCCATGACTGTGTTAGTAGAAAGTCATACCACCTGTTCTGTTCCACCAACATCTGTAGTAATAGCAGCTTCTCCTATAACTTGGCCTGCTCCATGTCCAATCAAGAGAACTTGGTGTAAATAATAATATTGGTTATGTGCCATCAGGTTGATGATTCGCAAAGATAAACTATAGCCATAGGGCTTTCCATATAGGTACATATTAAAAGGAACCCGTGAACATTGGTTTAAGAATATTACTACTTGAGGTAGGCAAGAAGTATTCCTTTCACTCAGGACATGTTACTTGGAACATAACATGAACCAAGTAATCAAGTCAAACCAAGTTGTATCTGAAGGAAAAAGTTATATAAATGTCCAAAAAATCTTCTTCCCTGGCAGCATGATGATGCATTGGAAACTATGCTAATTAAAATTAAGCACGGTTAAATTATCTGCCTGAGGTGATGACTACACTCATTAAAATAGGGCCAAATTCTGGCAGGATATATGGTCAGATTATTATTGTTTTTCTTTTGAGTTTGTGTAGAAACCTAATCTAGTCTTAAATAGTACAATTTAGACACAGATTTATAACTCTAATATAAATTTTGTCCATAGCAAATACGAGCAAAGGGAGACCCAAGATCATTTTTTTTCTTATGCCAAAGGTGTGTAATGTTTTCCACACTGAGATCATATTTGGCTTCAATTATATTTGAAACAAGGTACAGCCCAGAAGGAAATTATTTACTTAAGTGTAAATAATCTTAAATTAAATAAAAATGACGTTAAATAAAATTAATCAACTGATACAGAATAATATATTTATTCCAAAGTCATATGATTACCTTTTCTGATGGTCATAAAAATATCATGTCACTTTTTTCAGTGCCGTTGTAAATGTGAACAATCGCTAAATGAATGGTTATAAGTCAAAGACTACCAGTAATACCTGCTTGTTATCTAATAAGGAAAGTACTATTGATCAGTGCAGAATGTCTCTTCTAATCCTTCAAATTATTGTAGATCTTTAGCAAGTTCATAACTTGTCTGTCACAATACAATCAAGCTAAGTGCATGATGTGCTTAGCAAGAAATTATAATTACCAAGCTCCTTAAAAGCAGACAACTTTTAAAATAAGATTTCAACTTTACTTTAGATTTCTTCTATCTTGCAGCACAAGAAAATAACCACATAGGATTTAACAATGTTAGTGAGCTCATAGGGTAGAGGTAGAACAATATTACTTGCTACTTGCTACTTGCTACTTGCATGTCTGATGAATCTGGCCCATAAAAACTGGTAGCTCACTGGGTACAGAGCACAGAGCTCAGAAATTCAAGAATAATGGCAGGTCCATTCTTTTCAGTATTACTCTCTAATCCAAATTGTTCCCATGTGATTATAAATGCTTATGAAATGTTTCAAGTTCCAGGAAATTTTGCTCAGGCTTATGATGCTATGGAAGCTTTATGCTGTGCTCAATTTTGTGATTTGTTTTGTTCTGACAGGTGTGGTGCTCAAATGAAATATTAATCTTCTGTAATATACTGCTGACAACATCTGTTTCCTCAAATCATGGATTATTCTTTAACCATGTTTGAGGTCTTATTTGAAGCTGTTTATTTAAAATATTTATAAACATCTTCAGTCCAATAAGCGTCTACTATTTATGCACCTAGATCTAAAAACAGTGGTCATTTTTAGCTTGCAATACATAGGGAAACAAACACCTTCTATTTCTTGACAACAACTGTTTGCAGCGCATGTAGACAATTATGTCGTTTTTCTACAGTGAACAGGAATATTTTACCCACTGCCATTTTTAGCTGAGAACGATTAATCCATCTAGGGAGAAAAGCATAAAGAATATCTGTTAAGCTTTGGATGCTACACAGCACTTATTAATAAATTAACTAAATTCAGGTTTTTCTGTAGACTTAGTGACTTACACCAATGGTGAACTGATTTTTTCAGTGGTCTACCCTAGTTTGTATGCACTTACCTTCACTTTCTTCAAAACTTAATTTAGCTTGCAAAAAATGACATTCACAGATACATCGATTAATATTATTAATTTAGTTTACAAATATTGCTTTTTCAAAGGACTGAGTATATTGATTCGGTAATCAAGTACCATTAGGCACCTCAAATGCTAAATACAATCTCCACATAAGCAACAATAACATTTTATACAACACTAACTCGTTGTATACACCTTTGTGCAAAAGCATTCAAGCAGAATGACAGCGTTGTTTATTTAGGAAAAGTTACAAAGTGCTTAAAACAAATCTATTATCCATGTCATATTTATATATGTATTATATTTATATTTATGCGGTGTTTTGCTTGCTCGTGCAGGTCTGAGATTAGGAGACAATTTATGCCCTCGTCTTTGCAACGTTAACTGCGCCAAATCATTCTTGTTCAATGACGGAGCATCAGTTAAACGCCAGAGCGCTGCAGACCATCAGATTATCCTAACTGGAATGTTCCACGACAGACTCCGCCCCTTTTGTATTTCGTCACATTCGAGATTCCTCCTCCATCCCGTCGTGCAAAGCGGCGCTCGCAATATGGCGGCTTCCATGCGACTAAATATAGTTAAGGTGCACTTATGTCCTTACTTTGAATTGGGAGGGGAATTTCGCTAGTAGTGAATTTTAGTAGCGGGTCTTTTTCGGACAAATGGAAATGTATCTTTTTCATAATTATTAGAGCGCCTCTTTTTATGTCTGTATTTGTCTTTTTCATTTTACTGTGAGCGCTTTCTAGTATAGTATTGTACAAAATAAATACGACGAAATTGGTTGATTTCTGAGGTCAACAGTAGCCGCTTTATGTTTTATCAATTTCTGATGTCTACTTTTAATTATATAGGTAGAAGCTAATATGTAAGAAGTAAAGCTTTTCATCAATAGCTCCTCTTTCTTTGTAAATGGATAAAACGATCCATTTGTCATTTACGAAAATAGGGGAAATTGAATCATAATATAGGTGTGGTTTTTGACGTTAGTATTTACATATTTTTTTTCTAATTTGAAGAGTTGGGGACTAATTGTACAGGAATTTAACTGTTATTGTGTTGGGGGGGTTACACGAAGGGAGGTTCAGCCAATCTCATTGTACACATGTTGTACTCTGGCAATAAAGGTTTGAATTGAATTGAATTTGAAGTTTTGAAAAAACAATAGTCTGCATATCCAGAGCACTACAAAATGTTAAGTAGTTTTACTTCAATCATTGAAATAAGCCGTTGAATTAATTCTGAGGAAAGGAAAGGAAAATATGATAAAAATATTTATATGGCTGCCATCTCACAAATACTACTCTCATAAAAAATAGTTGACAAAGGTTATAACATAAGCACAATATAAAAATTAGTTTCAAAACTAGCTAAAACATAAAGTTGCTGCTGTAGACATCATATACTGGTAATGTGGGCTCAGTTATCCTGACAGCTAGCCAGAACTTAACATGCTTGCAAAATTTATACTGGGTGAGCACTGCATATGTGTATGTGCAAGAGGAAAAGTGATAGAACATGTAATTTGAATGGAAAATCTCCTAAATTTAAACCCATATCCAGAATTGTGGCTGTTTTGGTCAGTGTAGTGAACTCTAAGCTAATTTCAATAGTTGAGTCATGGAGAAAATCTATGTTGTCACTAAGAGTTGACATCAACTTGATAGCAAATAATCAGTCATTACTTGGGTTTATTTAACATTTTGGTACAGACTATCCAAACTTTTAGACGCAGATATGATTTGTTTTAGCAAAGGATACCTGTAGATCCAACCAGTTTTTTAGTACTAGTCATATTTTCTTAGCAATCTCTGAAGGCCATTATATGGCAATCTTCTGTTCTTATATACTTTATATTTTGGTTTGAAAGGGATTTTGTATGTCTAGATTGCCTTTTTCATTTTGAAAAGACAGTATGTATGCATTTGATTGTTTTGAAAAAGAAATATCATTTGCAGAAGGTATTTCCTGTTTCCAATTCAAACAAAACATATTTTTTTATTTGAAATACAGGTAAGAAGAACATGTTTTTCCTCTGTAGATTTGAATTTATATGTATGTTTAACATGCCTCCAAATGTGGCTCATATTGCTACAGTAGTTATTTGGATTGGGAAGATGAGAAGTAGATAAATGGCGGTAATAAAAAATTATTTGTATAATATATCTGCTTTTTTTTTAATTGAAAGGGGGTATCATGTTTGCTGAATGTTGCCCGTTGTGCCCCATCTTCTCTTGTGATCCCAGTAAGGACCAAGAAACGACTTAAACTTCCCTCTAGGATCTATGATTCTTTGGAACAACAGCAAAAACACTTAAAAGCTAAAGAAATGGCGATGCCTGAAGATAAGCTATCGCAGTATATCACTATTACCTGCACAAGTAAGTAGTTTTGATAATTTATTTGGTAGAAAGAATTGGAGTAGGATTAATCTCTATGAATCCCAAAGCGAAATAGATATCAGTTGGTTGCTTCTTATTTTTTCTAGTCCTGGATATCTTTAAATCCTTTCTCATTGTATATAAAAATGTATTGTAGGTTTTGGTTTTGTAACGAATCACATAGCTGTTATTTAACTACAGCAACAAGTGATGATATGTAGTAAGTTCTGAGCCATTGTCATTCTCCCTGTAATAGCATGTGATTGGAAATGAGCTGTAGCTATTCAGAATGGATTGTTCTATCTATTAAAAAAATCCTGATCAGAAGAAATAAAGATAGCTATAAAAATACAGAAATAACATTTCTTATCAAAACTGAGGTAATAAATCATAAAGTGGGGGGGGGGAGTATGCTGTCTTGAGAGATTCTCAGTCATCCAGGTCATAGTTGTCTCAAAAGAGTTTTTTTCTTCAAAAGGCAACTGGACAAATTTTTCCTTGAGGAAGAAGAAAATGGTTCACTTCTCATCCAACAAGCTTCATCAGTTTTGATAGCAGGAGGATGGAAGGATAGGTGCTGATAGGATGGTGGGTTCCACCACAAAACCGCGGTAGACTAAAGCACGTGTGACTAAAGCGCAGTGACAAAACCGCACCATCAAAACCGCGCGACAACAGCGCGCCGACAACAGCGCGCTGACAGAAGCGCACTGTAACATAACCCTAAAAATAACCCTAAACCTAACCCTGAACCTAACCCTAAACCTAACCCTGAACCTAACCCTAAACCTAACCCTGAACCTAACTCTAAAGTATTTCTCTCACGACCTACCTACCTACCTACC